GGAAAATGTCAAGTAACTAGACCGACCACACGCGTCGTTTTTTACACCAAGAAAATATTTTTCTGAAATCGATTAAAATTAATCAATTGATATAGTTATCAAAGAAAACGAAAACTTACATAAAGCTCAAGCATTTTCTTTTTAAGTACTTGAATTTTTGTTTTAACGTGTTTTTCTTGCTAATATAGCCCTTACTTATTGAAATGTTTTGAACAAAATTACTTTAAGGGTCAATTCGTCAATTTCTTCGTTATTTTATAAAATATCACTAGGAACTTAATTTATTAGTGACTAACGATTGGTATAGTTGATTCAAGTTATTCGAGTTACTTAAATCCATTAAAATACAACTTGTGAAATTTGTATTATGCGAATTTTTACTGACAGTACTAGCAAAAATCATCATGAGATTTTCCACTGATCAAAACCATTCACAAGATAAAATAAATAATTCGCAAATAAAACATGTATCTGAGTGAACTAGAGGTCCCGCAGTAGTCGAAATTCGACTATAATTAATTGGAATTGTAAGTTTGTACACTATTATGATTGTATTTTATACTTCTATAATCACAAATTTCGTCAAGACTACACTATAAAAAATATTAACAAAGACAATATTTAATCTATTCCCAATTTGACAACAGACGTCAAGAACAAAAGTTTAACAATAAATAGTATGCATGCGTGTGTGCGTCAAATACATGGTATGTAGTGTGTGTAATGTTTTCTTTATTGATTTAATATATCTTTTACGCATTATTTTAAAAAAATATTAGCATTGTGCACTTCTTCTCTATATTCTCTATAAGTGTGGAAAATTTCATACTCCTCCGTCCGCGCAATTTTCGTAAAAAGGCATACAAAGTTTTTGTTTCACGTATTAATATATAGATAATTCAGTTATTTGACTTTTTCATTCGGTAATTTATAATTCACTTCATAGATGGCATTTGTCTGATGTTTGCGAAATCAGACGTGTAGATTCGTCAGTATTTTTTAGGTGATATTAATAGTAAAACTACATAAGTAGAATTTTTTTGTAATTTTATTAAGACGTAGCTGATCATTTTATTACCGATCCTGGAAGTAACTATTATAGTAGTATTTTCTTTATCCCTATTCGTGACCACGAAAAATGTAAAGTGTTGGAAACGTTGCAAATAATAATATAATGACAATAAAACTTACGATTAAACCGTAAAAGTATTTTTAATTATAGATCGAAGGTAAGATCGGTATCGATAAGATCGAAGAAAATACTATAACAATTGAGACTGTCAGTGCAAAAGTGGCCTAACCCAAAATTGTTCATATTCGCGCTTATATATTGCAGTTTATTTAAAACGTAATAAATTTTGATGCAAAACCAGCATGTCCCTAGTCTCATCCATAGAGAGCAGATGGCTTTGTAAACATTATTTTTACGCGTATTGTTTTTGCCTATGAAGCAGTGTAAAAGTAAATTCCGACCTCATTATCTCCATACTAACTATGATAAGCTTAGGACACTTTTGCGGTGACTGCCTCAATGATAGCAAGCTATAGACTTTGGATAATTAGCTGAGTCACAGAATTCTACAAATAACTTTATACGTGCTTGAAAATAGTAAATCTTTTAGAAAAAAAAAACGCTTCATCTCATTAATTGTACTACAATGGAAACCCATTCTTCGAAATCACGCGATCGGTTCCAGCATGAAGCGCAAGAATGTATTACGGATGATATTCGCTGATATTGCACTAATGTACCTACACACGTGAGATAAGATATAATTGGATAGGAATTTTATTAATTCAATTATTCGAATAGAATTCCGTAAGGGGGTAGTAGCATAAACTTTATTTTAAATAATGGACTTTTTGGCGGGAACGCGAGGAGTGACATTGTGTCATTTGTTTTATTTTGTCTATTTAGTGTTTCTTCAGGTTTAAATGTGTATTAACTATTTGAAAGTCACTGTTGTGAAAGTGCATAAATGTGGGAAAAAGAAACAAAGCCGCTGGGCGTAGCTTCTTGGGATCCTCCAAAAACCCTCTGGAAAATACTTTTACTGAGATTATATTTCATATCATCTCATCTCATTTCATTTAATTTCATCTCAGTTGATTAATGTCTTATATTAATCATTTTCATTTCATTTTACTCCATATTCTGCCTATTTCTGTCGCAAGCAGTTTGGCTTATCATTAATCCTAAGGTTAGTGGCGATATTCACATTGATGAGTTTTAGTTATTCACTAATTTTTTGTTATATTTTTTATTACTTAGAAAGGTGGACGAGATCATGGTTCACCCGGTGTTAAGAGGTCAGCGGAGCCCATAGACATCTACATCATAAATGCCGCCATCCACCTTGAGACAAGAGTTCTAAGGTCTCAGTCTTAACAGTACAATGACTGCCCAATCCTTTAAATCGAAACGCATTACTGCTTCACGACAAAAATCGGCAGAATGGATGTAACTACCCGTGCGGACTCACAAGAAGTTCTACCACCAGTAACTCATGAGTTCATGAAATCTTTTTATTAACTAGATTGATCCTCATACACAAACAACTGAGTTTCTCGCCGGGTCTGCTCAAAATAAACACTTTAAGCTGCTTTCAAACTACGCTATAGTATAGGGCCATATAGTATAGCAGCCTATACTTAGCTAATAATATATAGTACAGTACAGTGTGAACGTGTTCATAACAATGTATGGTGCGCGATATTGTTGTGCTATGAGCTATATACTATATGCTGTTATATTATAGCATAGTCTGAAAGCGGCTCTAGGCTAGTAAAGATTACGTAGCGGAAATAAAGAGTGATAAAAATAACAAAAACAAGAATGGAGTACCTAATAATCAGATGAAATACTTTTTTTTTGTAAGGAGCTATGCATTTCTGGATGGTTGGAATTTAGAACGGAATTGATATTATTTAAACTTTAAAAAAAATCATTACATTCAAGATGGCCACAGTTTGAAGAGAATCACAAAAGCAATAAGGTCATGTCTACTGAATCGGTTTTTATACTCCTTTTTAAACACGAACGTGTGGCCTTTTTTTTCGTGTTTTTCTTGAGATCTCGACCTCTACATGTTACAAATCATTTTCTAAATTATTCCCATTGTAATCTAATGTGGAAATACAACTATGTATTATGTGCTATACAAATTGAAAGTTAGTTTTTTTATCTTAAATCTTAATCTTAAATATAAATAAAAATTAATTTCTGTTCGTTAGTCACGCTAAAACTCGAGAACGGCTGGACCGATTTGGCTAATTTTGGTCTTGAATTATTTGTGGAGGTCCAGAAAAGGCTTAAAAGATAGATAAATATGAAAATGCTCGGAATTAAATAAAAATAACAATTTTGTTTTTTTGCCCTTTGAAGTGTGCCCCGTCGGACAGATTCCTTTTGTATATTTTAAGGTTATTTTATACAAAAGTTTAGGTCTTTTACTTATCGATTGAGGCACCACGAAGTCTGCCAGGTCAGTTTGTCTTAAATATAAATCCATTAGGAAAACTACATAAAAAATAAAGGCACATATTTACGTAAAATCACGCAACGCAGTCAGTGTGTTAATAAAAAAAATTCCTTCAATGTTTCAGACTTCAAGCGATCATCTTCTCTTGCATACCTATTCATGCCTATATTTTTTGTGTCGTTGGCTGACATAATACGCGTATATGTACGTACGTACAGCTTTTGGTTATTTAAAAACAAAATACTATCTAACTAACTATTAATCAATATAATTCAAATAAGGTTTAATTAACGGTGCTGTAACCTTTTGATCTTGGAACTGGGTTCCTGGTATTCTAAGATCATTAATCGAGTTGATTCTAATTTTAATTTAAAAATTTATCAATATGAAAATCAAGCAATGGATTCTATAGTTCATCTGGCTCTCACTCAGACGTATCCCAAATCCTAATAATGCTAGAGATAGTATGCGTAGTGATAGTATGCACATTCAAGTCACGTAAGCGTTTATGGTTTTTGAGAAATGCACTAAAAAGTTTATTATGGAATGGTTGGACGTTCTGACATTTACTTCCAATGGACTATTTTTATTTATTGCTTAGATGGGTGGATGAGCTAACGCACGACCTGGTGTTAAGTAGTTCACGGAGCCTATAGACATCTACAACGTAAATGCCTCCACCCACCTGAAGAATAAGTCTAAGGTTTCATTCAGTTTTTACTGTACAACGGCTGCTCACTTTTCATACCGAAACGCATCACTGTTTCACGGCAGAAATAGGTGGGGTGGTGGTACCTACCCGTGCGGACTCACAAGACGTCCTAACACCAGTAATTACGCAAATTATAATTTTGCGGGTTTGATTTTTGTTACACGATGTTATTACTTCACCGTGGAAGTCCATTGTAAAAATTTGTTGGTTACGTATTTCATTTAAAAAATTGGTACCCGCCTGCGGAATTCGAACACCGTTTCATCGCTTGATACGAATGCACCGAGCGTCTTATCTTTTAGGCCACGACGACTTCAAAATGCGGAGTATGCAGAATATTCGCAAAATTATTTATTACTTCCTTGATGAGTAACTATTTTTAATTTGTTGTAACCAGTATGCAAGAAAAGCTTTGTGTGAATTAGGATATGAGAGAGAGAGGAGTGAGTGTTGAGCTGACGGCTGATAAAAGAGAATGGAAGAGAAAAATTAGCTGTGCCGACCCCACCTAGTGGGATAAGGTGGAGAAAAAGAAGAAGAGTACAACAGTGTCCCACTGAGTTTCTCGCCGGATCTTCTCAGTGGGTCGCATTTCCGATCCGGTGGTAGATTCTGCGAAGCACTGCTCTTGCTAGGGGCAGTATTAGCAACACTCCGTCTTGAGCCCCGTGAGCTCACCTACACGTTAAGGTGAAGCTGAAATAACTTCTCAAGGCTATCAGCGTAGGTCGGAAAAAAAACAACAGTAAAGCTTTGAGGCTTTTAAGTCCAATTCAAAATATTTGATAAAATATCGTTAGACTCACCAAGTAGCAGTCTATAGGTTTTTCTCTCGGCCGATGGTAGGCTTTCTGGAGCTCTGTTTGCTTTAAGGCGTGTGCTATGTGGAGGGCGCTGGCGTCGAATCTCCCGTACTGGTAGTCAGGGGTATCACGCGATAGCTCCCTTGCTGGAGACGCGTGGACGCTTCCACCGTTCGTCGCCCGGATCGGAGACACTGCACAGAAAAGGTACAAAATTTGAATAATATATGAGAATAAGTGCGATGTTTTTTTTTGTTTTTGTTTTTTCAAAATTAGGGCTGTGCTTTAATTATTTAGGAGTATACGTTTCTTAATTGTATTATGGGATTAGGTTGATATGCGTAAGAACATTAGAAACAAAACTAAAGCACCTTTTTGTTTATGTGGGGATATATTTTTCTGTTCCTAGATTTGGCTGACGATCGTTTCGCTATAATATATATTATGTATAATGCGATAACGGGAGTTATTGAATACCATAAAGCTAATTAATGTCCCAGTTGAGCGTATGAAGCTACCCGCCGGATCTTCTTAGTGGATCGCGATTCTGATCCGGTGGTAGATTCTGCGAAGCACTGCCCTTGGTAGAGCTAGTGTTAGTAAATTCTCTCAGTTTGATCCCGTGAGCTAGCCTATCCTTCCGCGTGTACTTGGAATAGCCTATTAGACTACCAGCACGATCTGGTAGTAGATTCATTTGCGAAGCAGCTACTTTTGAATTTTTAGGTCTCCTTTGAAGGCGCTCGAGTAGCTGTTAGCAAATCTCACCCCTCGTAGCGGAGCCTTTGCTTGCTAACCTGCCCTGATAAAACTTGGAAGGCCTCCGGTCCACCAGTAATCTCTCAAACACAAAAAAAGATTACCAGCGAATAAGTAGAGAAAAATTCAAATTATAACCTATGGTAGCTATGTGACAAAAAGGGTAGGACGCTATTACCTACAAATGCTGGTAGCACGCCTCACTACCGGTACAAGTAAAATAACTCTCCTCAAATGGCCTGTTCATAAAACACATGCTTACGCAAAATTACTTTCTGTACAAGCAGTTATGCTTTGGAATTCCCTCCCTCCAAGCATATGAGCCTGCAAGATTATAGCAGCGTTCAAGAAATCTGTTAAAGAACACTATTTATACTTACTATATTAAATAAAAGTATATATATATATTTTTATAATGTATTATAATATAAAGTAAGTATATGTATGTAAGGTTTGTGTTCCTAATTCTTCTTTCCTTTTGCGGGCCTACTGGAAGAGATTTCAACATGAAATAAGTAGTGTCCTTGTGCTCTGTATCCTTATTATCGTGTTTCTTCTAACAGCTGTGTGTACAAAATATATTAAATAAAAACATAAATAATAATCCACTTACAATAAAGACTCACACAATATAAATCTAAAATTCAATATAATAATAAATGGTAAAGTTTAATATAGTGACATAAAGATAAAACACTTTGAGAACCACCAAAATCACACGTCCAGCTCCGACTCTGTTGTTTCACATTAAATATTCAAATGCATGCGATTGGCTGCAATATTAGGAATGCTGGGTTATAGCTTCAGCCATGACGTATATGTCCACAGTATTCCCAATGTGACATTTCCAATTTACGCTTCAACAGTGACGTGATGCGTAGATACGACGAAGAATATTCCAAGCCTTCGTTGTTGGACTCTCATTCACAATCTACGCTTCGAAGTGGAAGACGATGCAGAATTTTTTGAGGTTTTTCTTATTGCTGTATACGGGCCGAGAAGACGTGGCTCTGATTGTACAGCTGTTTTTTTTTATTGCTTAGATGGGTGGACGAGCTCACAGCCCACCTGGTGTTAAGTGGTTACTGGAGCCCATAGACATCCGCAACGTAAATGCGCCACCCACCTTGAGATATAAGTTCTAAGGTCTCAGTATAGTTACAACGGCTGCCCTACCCTTCAAACCGAAACGCATTACTGCTTCACGGCAGAAATAGGCAGGGCGGTGGTACCCACCCGCGCGGACTCACAAGAGGTCCTACCACCAGTAATTACGCAAATTATAATTTTGCGGTACAAAATATATTAAATAAATAAATAACAGTTCCTATACTGGCCCCATATTAAAATGAGACCTTAGAGCCTTCGGTTCGATCCACACGGTCGAACAGAGAATATAATCACGTTATCATAATACACTTGCCCGTTATTGTGTTGATAATACGCTTTTGTACCGTCAAACGGGTTTTAGTTACGGTGCTCAAAACGTCTTTTGTGTTTATATAATTAAATGACAATTGACGTTTCTACTTATGTTTTGTTGTGTTCATTGTTTTGTTGTTTACATGTTTTAGACAGTTTTATGCTGGACGAATTTATCGTTGTATTTATTTTAGTGTTGTGTTTTCTTCTAGTACACAAAAAACACGCAATTAAAATTTTTTTTTGACGTGACAACGTCTTATAATTCGATGGAGCCGGCTGCACGCACGAAAAACATGACTCATGCGGCGTTACCTCGCTATGAGGCGTCCCACGATCACGTGGCTAAATTGGCAATAAATTTCTCCAATTATTTGATGACAACAAAGACGCGATCATGGAACGCCATAGTCAATTTGAGTCTAATTTGAACATTGAAAACGTCATGAGAGAAATTGAAGCGTCACGATCAATTCAGTAGTGATTTCCATTTACCTCCTTCTCTATATCCATACAAAATATCTATCAAACAAATAAAATTAAAATTTTCTTTTGAAAAATGAAACCATTCCATCAGTATTTTCTTATGACGTGTTCACGTTCAACTATTGTCAGTAAGCCGACTTTACAGACAAACGATTTTTTTTTTTACAATTTAATGTCGCGTTTTGTATTGTCAACGTATTATACTTGAATATATTGAAAAGTGAAGCCTATTTGGTTTTTAAGCGATATTTTTTCAACTTTAAAGAAGACACACACATTTAAAGTTTAAAATTTTGAAAAAATATCATAAGCAAAAACTTCTTAAGCTATTTCAGTGGAGTAAACTTAACTGAAGATTCGTGATGCATGTGCCATAATCACGTGGAACGCTTCACTTTACTCCCCACCTATAATAATCACAACCGAATAAATTGTAAAAACTAAATGCTCACAAAACCGTATAATTACCGCAAATAATTAGTACTTCCGTTTTGAATCCGATTGCTATTTTCGGTGAGAATTTACCTGTTACGCCTATTTATATTTGTACTGGTATACTCATTATAGTCATGATATTATAGTTATTGAATAGCGTCTAAGGAAATTTCATTGATTTTTTTTACTTAGGTGAACATAAACAACGTAATACCGCCTTGAGATATGAGTTCTAAGACTGCGTTATTTTATAGTACAATGGCTGCCCCACCCTTCAAATCGAAACGCATTACTGCTTAACGGTAGAAGTAGGCGAGGTGGTTGTACCTACCCGTGCGGGCTAAGAATGTATTTATTGAAGACATATGAGTGTTATGCACTGATCTGACTTTCTCCCTGGCATTGTTGATCTACATAAGCGATGATCAGCTCAATTTCAACGTATCCCACCTAATTTTGAAGAGAACAAAAATCGTTCTATCAATGAACGAGAGATGGCGCGCAAATCTCAACAAACTAGAAACAATTCCTGAAGAAGCTTAATCTCAAGCATGGTTCAGTATTTCCTTCGGTTATTACGAGTCACCAGCTTCTTTTACGGCTTAANTGGCATTGTCGATCTACATAAGCGATGATCAGCTCAATTTCAACGTATCCCACCTAATTTTGAAGAGAACAAAAATCGTTCTATCAATGAACGAGAGATGGCGCGCAAATCTCAACAAACTAGAAACAATTCCTGAAGAAGCTTAATCTCAAGCATGGTTCAGTATTTCCTTCGGTTATTACGAGTCACCAGCTTCTTTTACGGCTTAATCTCAATTAAATCCAAAAATTAAACGCAAAAGTCTAATAGACGGCGCACATTCAAATATAGACGAAGTCGACCGCGACCACCAAAACTGCATAGTATTCGAAATGTCAGCAATAACAGAAAGAAAATAAAAAAACGTAAATTTAAACCATAAACGTTGCTTTTATTACATCAAGCGTAATTTATTAAAATCCTCGGTCGCACTAAAATGTGCGAGAAACGAGAAATTCTTTTATATATATAATCTGAACCTCGGAAACGGCTTCAACGATTTTCATAAAATTTAGTATACAGAGGATTTCGGGGGCGATAAATCGATTTAGCTACGATTTATTTTCAGAAAATGTTGTTTTATTCATGTTTTCAATAATCAACTCTTCCCGACATCTATTGGCGAATAATAATACTATTTTTCTTAATTGAGGGCAACTAACCGCTTTAAAGACACAACAAGATGGCGTTATCAAAAAAAAAACGAATAAAGCTCGGTCATCATCTAGTAAATGATAACATGCGGTACTGATATATATAAAATTAACCGAAATGCCATAACTTTGCAAATCAATAGTACAGAAAATCGATGAAACGCAACCTAGACAAAACATACCGCTAGTTTTTTACACTAGAGTCACACGTAACTTATGGATAAACACTGGGTCATTGGCACCATTCCGAGATGTTGTCACATATTAAGCAACTATGATCGCTCCAGCGAACGAAATAAGACATAAGTTCCTAAGATATTTTCGTGCAGTGACATAACAAAGTAATAGGTTATTATTTATTGGGAAACAAAAATGAATATTTTATGGTGTAAGAAAACGAAACGTTTGGAAAACAGTTAGGTATGTGTACGTACGCGTGCAACACGCATTGTGCCGTGTATATTAACGTCAATATTGTGCTTTATTCATTTATCGTTTAAGGCTCTAATTACCTTATTAGACTTTAAAAGAATATGGGACAAGACTTTGCCAATCTTGAAATATACGTTTTTGGACTGGGCGCTAATTTGGATGCTCATTTTTTCTTAAACAATTTCTAAATTAAATTTATTAAACTAAATTAATTTTAGTTGGATTTTCTATAAAAGCGTATTTTGTTAGTTTTTTTTTAAACTATTATTTATTTTTAAAATTACTTAACATTACACTTTAAAGTTTCTTTACATTATTTTTCTAGACACCAAAAACCTTACTTCACACGCCGACGTGCACTAAAATTCTTTTTCATTTTGTTACTCTTATCGTTAACTTTCAAATAGACTCATAGTACCTA